AATACGTAGTTTTGTTCCGAACTACTTCGGTTGGGATTTTCCGGCTTGATCCGGTTCCTATTCCGGCTTGACCGGAGTTAATAAATCCGGTTGACATCGGGATCTTTGTTTTTGCTAGTTCCGATCTCCTTCCTATCTTTTGTTTATTATCGTTGATTATTCGTTTTTTTTTCTAAATTTCTTCGTTTTTCTCCAATCTTACGAGGAGTAATATCTTCGTCATTAACCTCTTGCTCACGACGCATGAGCAATGATGGAACACAGCCTACATCAGTATTTGGGTGTCGCAGTGATGGAGCTTCCCCGGAGATGGCGATTTACGGAGGAGTTTTGAAGTGGATTGAAGGATATATTCGGATGTTTTTGACAATTTCATTGATGAGATTTAGGATCGACAGAAGGGGATTGGATTCTGTCGTTTCTAAGATGGTTAGCGGCGGTTAATTGGAGTTTCGGCAATGGTCCGGTGACGGCTCGGCGAAGATTAACGATAGAGACGATGGGTGGTTTTGAGAAGACCACGTGTCAATAACTTAATCACATTTCATGCTAAACATTATCTTCTTATTCAATGTGATTTTGGTTTGTAATTTTCGTTAATCTTTAATGGATTTGGCCCTTCTGTAATTGCCCACTGGGCTTCTTAATGAAATGTTCTAGACAAAAAAAATATATATATATATATTCTGAGGGCCTGATATTCTTTATATACAGTATTGGCATCGGTCAAGAAATAAAAACGGAAGGAAGAATCACTTCAAGACAGCAAGAGAAGGCCAAAAGAGGACATTTGGTAGACTCATAATTGAATTGTATCTAGTAAATATCATTTTTACTTGGGTGGCCAAGAAGCAGATCGAGAAGACTAGACATTGAAGTTTAAATGGATTATATTTTTTGGGAGATTCAGAAAAATACCCTAAATTTTAATGAAAATTTGAAAACTACACTTAATCTTATAAATTTGGAAAACAATATATTTTTTGTTATATAAAAGTATGTAAATACCCCTATACATATTTAACTTACTATATAAATTTATAAAATAATAAATTTAAAATTATTAAACTTAAATTCAAAATTTAAATACGAAATTAATTTTCAGTTTTCTCGACTTATTTAACCATTGACTTATTTTTTATCTTCGTCGACTTAATTTTCAGTTTTGTCGACTTATTTTAAATTGTTGACTTATATTTCGTTTGATGGACATTTTAAGTTATCGACTTATTAAACTACTAATTTTTTTTTAGTTCGTCGATTTAAATTTTTTATTCATCGATTTATTTTGGTTGGTTGACCTTTTACTTTATCGACTTGTTTAAACCATTGATTTAATTTTTATGTTCATCGACTTGACATATTATTATCTAAATTAATTAAATTATTTATAAAATCAATTCAAATCAATTCTTAATTTTATTTTATAAAAAAATATCAATTGGTAATTTTATTTAAATTAAGGGTTAATTAGCTTAATATTAGTTTTGGGGTAGATAATTAAGAAACTAATATATACATAAAAAGATTTAGGTATATAGCAGAGAAAATAAAAAGTTTAACGAAATTGCCCTTACGAAAATTGAGAAAGGAAAGTTGTAAAAATCAGATAAAATCTTTACTTTTAATCCCTAAAAATATTTTAAGGAAACTAATAAAAATCCTTGAAATTGTTTTTACGACATCTTCACTTTTTTTTTGACAGAACCAATCACTCTAATCTCTTAAGGAAAAAAAATCGAGATTAATCTTGATTGATGCAATTTAATCTTTATTCAGTGATCTTATATGGCAGTATAGTTGACTATATTCTAATTTCTATATTGTTGTAGTTAGCTAAAATTCTAACAGTTTCAAATGGTTGTATAGTTGACTATATTCCTATTTTTTATGTTGATGTAGTCGACAGATCTCGAAAGCAATGAGAGGTTTGTATAGTTGACCATATTCCTACTTTCTATGTTGTTGTAGTTAACTAAAATTTCTACTTCGAATAGTTGGCTATATTGCTACTTTCTATATTGTTGTAGTCAGCTATTCAATTAATAATATAGTAAACTATATCATCTTTACAATTCTATATCTTTTAGTCTATTTATCAATAATTAATAGTATTAGTATATAATCTTTACAATAATTAATTCAATTTTAGTCTATTTATCAAAATAGTTAACTAAATAACACTTATAATTAAATATAGTTAACTAAAATAGTTCACTGGTTATATAAGAATATTTAGCTATTCAATTATGCATAGTGATAAACAATAGTTCACTATGTAAAACATTGCATCGATCCAGTTCGATAGTTATACTTTCTGGTCAGTTATATTATTCACCTTGTTATTGACGAAGCAATAAACATTCACTTTGTTATTGACGGCTCAAGACCAGAACGAAACAATCGCTTGGATAATTTCGAATCTTTCATATTTGGAGATTTGTGAATGACGAATAAATTAATAAAAAGTGCCAAATCA